AGAGAACCATGCACATGCTTTGGCTGGACAAAAAGGTTGCTTATTAAACACCAGACATCTTTGCAAGATCTCAGCATTCTGCATTTTTCATGAGAACAAATTTGTGCATGGTGCTTTCAGCACTCAGATTACAAAAATTACGAACAACTTCTCACATGCCAAAGGAGTGTTTCAGTGATCGGCTGCTTTCTTACAGGACCGATTGCTCGAAGGAATGGTTGAGGAGGAGGACATCAGGGAAATTTGCACAAAAATCAAAGTCAACAAGCTCCATCGACTGGATACAGTTGTTGTTGTCCCTGCAAGAGTAACGGGACGGATTGTTCACAGAGAATTGCGCTTATTGCTGACATCCAAACAACAAATTTCCTACATTCACGAGGACCTCGAGAATCCCCAGTTTCCCGTTCGCTCATACATCAACGCTGACTTTTCAGTGGCGCCAATTCAAACAGATAGCTACGACTGCCATTCAGGTGCGATTTCATTTATTTATCTCATTACAATATCCTAATAAATGTTTTTGTGGCTTAACTAAATTTTATGATTTAGACATCACGGGATGCGTTAGGCGCCTCACACTCCCAAAAATAATTGGTGGAACCCTGAAAGTGTTCCTTTTGGTCATCGAGGATGCGTGGTATGTTTTCAAGAATTAATAACCATTATTTACTTTATGAAAATTTACAAAATAACATATTAGTTATTACAAACAGTGGAGCAAAGGCCGCAGTTCGTTACCATGGCTATGACATAGATGACTATTTAAAGGATGCACCAGCTGCTGAAGCTCGCTTGCCTCTTATTACAACTGTTAAGTTAGCGATGCAAGTGCCTCCTTCGAATGGGCATAAATATCCAATCGAGTTTGAATCCACGCCTGCCAGTAGACTGATTATACGAACATACGCAGATGCCTTCAAGGACACAATGCACATGTACATTGTTTCCAATATCACCCGCACATTAGTTGAGCAACAAATGTTGCATCAACAATGAGTCAACGCTAACACAATTTGTTTGTCCTCCAATATAGTTTCCTTAAGAACCGAAAACCAGTTCCTTACGTCAGAGTGGACACTGGGGAGAAGATAGGTTGGCTGCGAGCAACAAGACCTGAAAAGAAGACACTTGGTGAGATTAAGGCAGGGCTTGGTTCTCCAACAAGCGGCAACAAGGTAGTCCCCTGCTAATTCTTTACACCCCGTACACATCCACCGATTTATATATTTAGCACACTCACATCAATAAAAAAATCATTTAATTTCAGATCCTCTACGCCTGCAAGTTTGATTTCACGCAGGTCATCTACAGAAAATCCATCTGCAAATCGACTCCAGAAATACCGGGGTAAGCTTTCATGATACCTGTGTCGTTTGTTCCCTGGCTAATACATATATTAGCTACAAACCTAACCTTACCTCTTTGTTGCAAGTTTGCGCTATCAACTGGAAGCAAGATGCCGCGACGGTTCAGAAGAAGCTGACGTCGTGCTGGAACACGAGGCAGTTCTGTCGTTGATCTGTGTACCACCAAGCAAGTACGCGGCGCTGAGTAAGGAGGAGATCAACCATTTGCTCAAGAGGAACCGTGGCAAGACATTTGCAGGGGAACTATACATTGCGTGGCCAGATCTGGAGTGCCCAAATTCAAATTTCGCGCTGCACATTCGAGTTGCCACGCTATGGAATGAATCAGCCTTTCACGACTGATTCAGCATGCATTGCCCAGTCCATTCACATGCTGGCTGTCAAATTCTCTAGCGAATGTCAAACAATTTATGCTTGTGTACTTTTGCAATATGAGAACTTGCTGATAGGTCATCTTTTGTAGTGTACATGCCGTTCCCTGAACATGATGCGCATATTTTGTAGAACTTTGTTGATCTGGGTATTTCACAACAACAACTACCACCTGACTTAATCAAGTAGTTCAATCGGCCTGAATCTATTGTAAATGTTGAAGACACATTTTGGGAATTACTTTTGCATATGTACCGTTATGTCATTGCCACAAAAGTAATCAGTTGGCCAATTGGTCCCTAATATGGACTGTGATTCAAGAGTTGTTTGAATATTAGAAGTGATGACAACAATTCCCTTGCATACTACCACAGTTTCCCATATGTGATCTTTAACATTATGATTATTGAAGTAGGAACTAGCTATTGTTACGTATTTATTCTTATCTTTTCATATGATCGAATCTAATGTTTTTTTCAAATGCCTAGAAATAACATTACTTTGTATGCCTCCCGTTTATCAAGAATTATATACAGCGTTTGTGGTTTCAATTCTCCATCAGAAACGATATCTGATGCTGTAGTATACAAAATTGATGTTGGAAAGACTACACCTAAAAAATACAACCCGACTCTTCCATCTGGGCCTTTAGCCCAGCACTTATGCCCGATCTTATACCCTTTCTTTCCTCTTTTCCTTTCGTTTCGTCTACCTCCCACCCAGATTTTTTAGTGTGTCTGCTTCCTCTATTTCCCGAACCTTCTGTTTGCCTAAACAGAAGCATAACGCAACTGTTGTTCCACCTTTCTTATTCTTGCTCTCACTTTAACCTTCTTCCTCTATTTCCTCACAGGAAGGCGATGTCTACTCCTAAGCTACTTCTCGATCTTAATGGAACTGAAGACCTAGAAACTATTCTGAAATTATGACTCCTACATGTTTGGGTATCTGACGACCTAGAAAAACCATATTGCAGTCTCTGGACCGATGCAAAGGTAACACTCTATTTGCTTTCAGTTTTTCTATTTTCCAATAACATTTCTGATCCTGAGTCATCTCTATTGATTCGCCTGCTACCTACTTTGACAGGGAACATTGATTCAATCTGTCGCCTCATCAAATTTAGCTCCCCATTTTGGCATAATCCTGCAACTGGGCTGTGTATATTTAGTTTCTAGATTCCATCTACAACAACCACAAACGATGTGGCATCCTTGCTCCCATACATTGAATTTGGTTCTTACTCAAGAAACCATATTTAACAATGTGACCATGATGTCGCCTGGTTTTTGTGCTAATTCGTTTGAGTTTGTTGACTTCAACTCCTTGTGCTCCTTACCTCGCTCAGCAAACCAGCTAATAGGTTTACCTACCAAACTACTTTAAACTCATGAACTCCGCTTCAATTTCACCATTACAGTTGGCGAGCTGACTATGTTTGCCAACCTCTTCAAATGTAGATGTAGTTGGCAAAGTTGTGTCCGTAGCTGGTCTGTCATGCTCAGTAACCTCTGCTCATGCTATTATTAGGCGCAAGCTGGTCATACAAAACGAGAGGTTTTCGATGCATTACAATTGTCTGCTTTTCCAGTCCTTCATTTGTTATCTTTTATCTCCTCTTTTTTTATTGTCTTTGTTTCGCTGTACTTTTGCAGGCATGTACGCCTTAATATCACCATCTGTGGCGATGTTGCACGATCTCTAGATGGGGAAGAACTAGAATACCTTGGCCGTTCTGGTTCTGTTGTGCTAGGTGTATGTAGTCTTCAGATAAGTGATGTAACAACAGGTTAGATCGCAGTTTTCGACCTGACAACTGATGTTTGCCTTATCTACATTATCATGTATTGATGCTTACTTTTTCATTGTTTTTCCAAGACGCCATATTTTTGACCAGCACCCCTGCCACACGCTTTGTGCTGGAACCATCTTGCGTTTTGGCAAATATTTTGCACTCTGCGTAAGTTACTTCCAATGAAACTTTTCAACAATTGACTTTTTCTTTATCTAATCTTTTCCCCAATGTATAGCTCTCTTGGTGGAAATGATACAATTCAATACTATCCTCCGTGGTTCTCGACCTCTTTTGAAGAACACCTATTCCAAGCTGACAGTACCAAAAAAAAATTTGGACCTAATCCACCTTTGCAACCCATCAATGGTTGATGTACGTGCTACTTACACAAACCTACCTCTGCCAGCACTGTATTTCATGCATGCATACTAAGATCAAGCATAACATGCTAATTTATAAAACCTAACCTATTTGTTTGTCTGCTTGCTTTTAGTTGGCCAATTGATGCAACCGTTTGTGTAATTCCTTTTTCTCTGAACCAACAAAGTGCTTCCCTACCTAACTTACTTTGCTTGCCTGCTTTATTTACTTATAGGCTACACATTACCATTGCTTAGCACAGATCCTCTCCGCTCAGTCTTCCCGACCATGATTTTATCTAGGATGTGCATTTTGCTCCAAAACAGCTAGAGAGTTTCCTGGTACTACTGATTTTTGGTATGATGAGCATGGCCAGTTGATACCTCAGGAAACCCAGAAATAGTTTGTCTAACACAAAACTATTTCTTTCATTGCAACTTCTACAATCAGCTAACCCTGGAATTCTTATACACTTTCTCAGCTACAAAATCCATTTAGCAGTGGGAGACACTACAGGTTCTGCATGCTTTATCATGCTTGGAAAGATCGCTGAGTCTTTACTTGGAGTTCCTGCTGACGAACTGTCGGCGCGTAACCCTCAACAGCATGGCCATTGCCCTCCAGAAATTGTTGCCATGAATGGACGCTGGCTTTCATTTGACGTTCAGCTCCCTAAACCTGGCTATTTACCTCAAACCCATTTGGAGTTTACCATCCTTTCTGTGGCCAACCACAACCAACCTCACCAATAGTCCAAGCCAATATCAACATGCACATGAATCACTTAGCCAACAACATCATCGTCACCGACAGTGGATTCTTTGCAGCATAGCTTAACGATGTCTTTGCAACAACGTCAGTAGATTCTTTGTACCTAATGTTTATTTCCAGTGCATCGCTTATTGAGATATAAATCATCCCAAATATTATGTTCCAATTCTATTGTATCATGAATTTGTGAATACTTCTACCTCACTTTCTATATCATGGAGTGGTAGCTACCCAAAGGATGAGAGAAATTTCACTAATTTTGGCCAATGGACGTTTCAACTGAAGTTTGGATAGTTGAGTCGCCTTTTTGTGGATCAAACAAATATGACTTTTGGGAATGGTTATATTGCAATGTTGAACAATGTTAGTATAAGAATCTATTCATCAGGAAACTGTAAACTACAAAAAAATACTTGATGAACAATCTAATTCCAAAACTAAATCATACCCCGCAACGGAGCGCGGGCTCATTACTAGTGATAAATATAAATATAAGATTATGATGCCTATAAATTATGAGGTGCATCCGCATCCTTTCTCCACTCTTCGAAAGTTAAAAGCTCAGCCAGGGGCCAGCACCGTCTTCTACTTCCAACAAGAAAAAGGAAGCATCCAAAATTTCTCACTAAGACCTCTAAATCCGCAGCATTAAGAGCATCTCCATCCAATTGCTTATTGCTATTGCTTATTGGATGGAATCCTATGTGGCAATAGCTTTAAGCAATTGCAAGGATGTAGCACTTCTTTCTTATTTAGCAAGATTGCTAAATAAGCAATCCCCTTTGCAATGCCACATAAGCAATTGGGACCCACACATTCATGCACTCAAATTCTTTCTTTTTTCTTTCTTTCTTTTCTATCCACTTTGTACACATAAAATGTTAAACTTAACAATTCTTGTGCTTATAAGTTGTTAATAAATTAAAATCATAAATTATATGTTAATTATATTGAACATGAAAACTTAATACAAAGATGTATAGTTGAAGAGATTTGGAATCGATTTGGAGGAGAGGAAGATGACAAGTAGTCTAGTATTTTTTTACTTTCATTTTGAATTTTTGTATTTTGTATTTTGTTTTGCATTTTTTGTATTTCATTATGTAATTTTTCCTTATTTCTATTTGGTGTATGCTATGTATTTTGGGGTCCAGATAGTATAACAACACCCATAGTGTTGTTATACTAACAACAGGATTCATTAAGGGTATAAGGGTAAAATACCATTAATTATTAGATAATAATATATTAAATTAACAGAAAGATAATTATGGACAAGAAGGAGCATCCGAACCTCGCTGCTGAGTCGCCATCCTCGCGCATCTCCGCCGTCGCACTCTTAACTTCTCGACTGCCATCATCACTCCGCCGCTTCCAGCCTTCGTCAGTCGCCGCTCCCGTCGGAAATCTCGCCATATATCATCATCGCCGGCTGTGAATCCGGTCTCCGCTGGTCGAGATAGAAGAGAAGGAGAAAGGGCGATGGAGTCGGGCACTAAAATCAAAATCTCCGCCGCCGCCGTCGCACGATGGCCTCTCGCTCCGTCCTCCTCCGACTAAGATCGCAGCTCCTCCGCTCCACGAAATTACGTCCGCTGCCGGCTCCTCTTACTCCTGCACGAGCATCTTCTTCTTCTCCACTCGCCAGATCGCCTCCGCCGCCAGATCGGAGCGGTTGATTCTCTCATCGATTTCAGATCTCCGTGCAGTTTACAACGATTCCGCCTCGATCTCAGGTCCCCGACTCTTCTCGACGGTGCGGCGCCACCCGGCGCGGCCGAAGACCGTGAACATCGGAGCCCGAGCTCGCCAGATGCAGACCAGGCGGCTGTGGACCTGAGATTTTACATCTTCTTCATTTCGGCAGTTTATTGTTTCCGAAGGACCTGGATATTGGGAATTTGAGGAGCCTAAAAGAGTTACGCCTGCGGAGTTGTAAGGTAAGGGAGATTAGGGGCGGAACCATTGGGATGTTGAAAGGACTTTGTGAGCTTGAACTAAAAAATGTTTATTGTGAAAAGAATCCAAGAGAAGTGCTTGCTGATATTGGGGAGTTGCAGTTTCTTGATGTCTTGAGAGTAGACGTGAAATATACTCTGGGACGATTTGTATTGCGTAGAGAGAATTTGCTGTTGGGGTTTAAGCTTCCCACAAGTTTGAAGGTGCTACTGACTTCCTCTCCGGTTGCTAATCTTCCAGAGTTGAGAGAATTGGAGGAACTGACAGTTGAAGATTGTGGTAGGTATGGGCTTGAGATCCCGCCAATAAATTTTGGTGGGTTGGGGTTTCCTAACTTTGAATTGCAAACCATAGCTTTGAATTGCAAAAATCCACAAAAAGCAGCGTACCAGAAATCTCCCAATCCATACCACAAATCCCCTAAAACAAACCAAAAATCCCACAAAACATACCATAAATATTCCGAAAGCACACCAGAAATCTCATAATACAAACTACAAACACGATAAAGCAAACCATAAACCTCCTAATGCAGACCACAAATATATTAAAACAAACCAGAAACTTCACAAATCAAACCATAAAATTTTCGAAAGCACACCATAAACTTCTTAATGCAAACCAGAAACACAATAAAGCAAACCAGAAACCTTCTAATGCATACCACAAATCTCCTAAAACAAACCACAAACCTCACAAAGCAAACCACAACATTTACGAAAGCACACCGGAAACCTCCTAATGCAAACCACAAACACAGTAAATCAAACCACACAAAAGCAAACCATAAACGTCCTAATGCAAACCACAAATATATTAAAACAAACCAGAAACCTCACAATGCAAACCACAAATTTTTCGAAAGCAAACCAGAAACTTCCTAATGCAAACCACAAACACGATAAAGCAAACCAGAAACTTCTTAATGCAAACCACAAACACGATAAAGCAAACCACAAAAGACATACGAAAATATGAGAAACCAAACCATAAATCTCACAATGCAGACCATAACATCCGGTGGTCGTTGGCCGTTGACCGGTCAACGAAAATCGTTGACCAAACTCCGGTGACCGTTAGTGAGCAGATTCCGACGCCGATAGGCATATTCCAGCCCCGATAACTAGATTCCGACGCCGGTAAGCATATTCCGGCGACAAATAGCATATTCCGACGACAAAAAGCATATTCCGGTGACCGGCGACCACTTTCCGGCGACCGGTGGCAGAATTCCGGCGACCAAATTTTTGGGTTATTTTTTATTTTTTATTATTATTTAAATATATTTTTCATAATGACAATTATACCCCTGCTTTGATTTTACACTAGGTCAACTCATCTAATAAAAAGTCATCTCAACCCTAGCTTCCTATTGGTTGGAGACTAGTGTTGTTACAATAACAACACAAGGGGTGTTGTCATAGTAACAGGTCCCTGTATTTTGTGTTTATTGAATTTTCAAAAGTCTATTATCTATTATGCATTATACAAATGTATTGTTAAGGAAAAGAATATGTAGTAGGTCCCATCAATTGCAATTGCTAACCTATTGCAGGGATGTAGATGGTTTGAAATGGTTGAATTGAATAGTTGCTAAAATTGGTGATGTGGATGTGGGATCCATTTATGAAATGGCTAACCTATTGCAGGGATGGAGATGGTCTAACTACTTGGAACAGAAACAGCCTATTCAATTTTGAAGGGCACACTGATTATTATTATTATTGTTAATTAAGGGCCAGTGACCCCGGGAAAGAGCTCCGATATCTTGTTGAAAACATCCATCACCTGCAAAACCAGACACAGCACCACGGTCAAATTAACATGGTCGTTTCGTGCAAGTAGCTGGAGGTTGCAGAAACCAGTAACCGGTCCACATTACCTCCTTGTCATTCTGATATTTCGCTATGCTCATTGGATTTTGTGAACACTGCAACACCAGTAAAACGTTCAAAAATTGAGTGCTGAAGATTAGTAAGTAAAACAGAGGCAGGGTGGCACAATCAGGAATCATCTGAGACGTACATCCATGATTGCTTGTTGCACTCTTGGGTTTTGAAATGCCATAGCAACTTCGGGATTGGCCATAATCTTCGAGATTACCTCTTCCGGTGTAAGCCCAATTTGATCTGCCATAAGTTGTAGTGCACTATTAGATTTCAAAAGAAACGGGACACCTTTAAAGGATGAATCGCAAACAACTTTTCTGATTCTTAAGACTATCCAAGCTTGACAGAACCTAACAAGATGTGAACTCAAATTTATAATGTTCAAGTGGGATCAGAATCATATATTTTTCCACTCACCAATGTTTGTGAGTCGCCTTCTGGCATGAGATAAAATAATCTGAAAAGAGAAGGGAAAATCCATATTTTAACTCACCAAACTGCTGCTTAACCTCAGGACTATCGAGATCAAATTTTTTCAAGGAATCCACCATGCGTGTGTCCCATTCGTTGTTCCCGCCCATGTCGTTTCTGAAATAAATACATCAAATGAAACACAGTTTTACATCCATAGTCAACCTCATTGGTAGCGCTGCCACCATATGCAATTCCAACTGAACAAAATGATATAGAATGACAAATTTTGTACCATACAACAAGTTAGGGACAAAATGAAACTATCTAAGATGTTTGCAAAGCTTGCGTAAATGTCTTATGTTCCAGAATATTTGTGAATTTTGCAAAATTTAACCACAAATAGAAATAGATAAAACCATATGAGCATATCCAAAGTTCAACTAACCAAATCAATTCATAAACAAAAGTTTAACATCAAACACTTCTTCAGCAAAAAGAGACATGTCTTACAGTAACACCTACAGAATAAAGAAACTTAACATCCAACACCGCTTCAGTAAAGGCTTACAGCATGTCTTGCAGCTGTTGACGGTACTGTGGATTTTGTAGCATCCCTGTCGAACAATGTAATAGAATAAATAAATTTTTGCAAAGCACAAGGTTTCAGGATCCACTACATGTATATAAAGCTTTAAGTGAACAAGGAAACATTTCCTAAGAATCACTGGAAATCCATCACTTAATAGTACTTATACTTGGCCTGGAGTTCATTGAATATTATATCATTGTGAAATTTCATCATCTAGGATTGGCGACATCAGCAGTTTTAATTAGTTTACTTACATTTAAAAGTGGTAGGATTTCGCATCTCCTCGGGTAAATATCTGCAAAGATACAATGAGATTAAACCTAGCAAGGAAGAAAGAAAGTCGACCCCAAAAAAAATGAAGGAAAAGATTCTTGGCAAAAGCAAGTATTAAGCAAATGATGGATGATATATTGATATTTGAATAATCCACAATGGTAGGATAGCAACTGCAATTTGAGGAAACAATCTTACGGGTAAACCATTTGTTGTACGATCGGATCTTCCATCATTTTCTCTAAAGCATCTACCGATAAAGTTGGACCTGTCGCTGATGAAGATGAAAAAGTTCCTTCAGATATGTAAACTGTTAGTGAAACGACATGGTAAAAAACAGCAAAACGAGGACTCTTCCCCTAGCAAGTAATAGAAGATAAAAAGCACCATAATGCCAAATGATCAACACCAAATAGTTGAATTCGGCGGTCATCCTCCTATTGACCTTCTTCAATCAGTCTTGAGTACCTCACAGAGTTAAAAGGACATTGGAAGTTTCTATCGTCTATTTAAGATATTACCTAGTTTTAAGTAAGTTTCCGTAGATAAAATTCACCATTTTCTCCAGCCCACAAACCAGGTACAATTCAGAAGTTTCCAATTACTTAACAATGTCAATGCTCGATCTAGAGTTTATAGAAGTATGATCAGAAATAGCTTCAAAAACAAAATTATTGCAACTATGTAAAACAAAAGGAAAAGCAATCTCACGAACAAGACCATGGGGAATAATACTACTCTTCCTTACTCGTAGATTGAGAACCCTCAGTCGTACGAGCATCCTGCTTAAAAGTAGCTCCATTTTGAGAAGCCTGCATAAGAAGTTAAGAACATCAAGCCCAACCACAATTTAGACAGCAGAGTGTAGTCAGATCTGAGTCAATAAAGACATACTTCAAATGGAGCATCCTTTAAGGAGCTTGTCTCATTGACATCATCAGCACTTCCAAAAGGAGTCCTCACTAGGGTTTCTCGATCTTCAGGAGAAATGTCCACAAAAGCTGAAAACAACAAAAATCAGAACCTCTTACAGGTACTGTCACAGTCTCGAGTTTGAATCTCAAAGGTTGAATGGTGCCAAGTTGTAGAGAATATTTTCATTGTGCAGTAGTACAACGAAATGAGCAAGCTATCTTTAAGCTAACTAAATCACCCTAAGATTAACACACATAGCCTTCAGCTTCAGCTGGAGTCACTGAGAATGAAGTACATTGTAGGAAATGTTCTGCAATAAGGGAAACACGGACCCACAACAGACAGCAACCATGGAAGCAAAAATTTGTCATAAATCAGAAAAAGAGAGTATAATGGTATTCTGGAGAAACATGCAGCATCTACAGCCATAAACAGTTTCGATTATGTCATTTTGCAAAATACCTGCAAGATACATCGTTATGAAGTTGTATCAACAGTTCATATGACAATCAGTTAGGTTCAAACTTGTTCCCAGCTTGTAGAAGGAAGCCGAATTCATCACAACAAAAAATGAGACAATTAGGTGACTAATTACTCATCTATCGAGTTGCATGGACTTGAAGATATAAATAGGTATGTGGTGGAAGTTGGAGAAAACGTTCAAAAGGGCAACTGTTCAGATTGACAGTGACAATATAGCCATATAGCATGTTCACGACTTTGGAATGTGTTTTTTTCTGACGAGATGCAAGTAATTAGCAAAAGGAAACCAGACTATACATCGAAGCAAAAGTACACCAAGGATTAAGGAAGTGGTGGTGGAATCCTAAGAGAATGTAATTGAACATAAGAGCAATTTTCTCTTACCGTACTTCTTTTTATCCTCCTTAGTCTCCACATCATTATTCATGTTAGTGGCTGAAGACTGTTCAACCTTCGTTGTAGAAACGTCTATGGTCGCCCTCGGTAGAGAAACACTAGGAGGTGGTGGGGTAGCAACCTCGGTTGCTGAGGATGCAGAAAACGAAGGTGCAGCAGGCCAAGATGGTGGTGAAGTTGTGCGTGAAGGTGAGGTATCAGGCACAGAAGTTGTAGGCATTGGGAATTGAAAAGGCGAAATGGGAGCGTTGCCAAATTGGCTATTTTGAGTATTCATCTGGTTCATCATAGTTTTCATAGCTTGCTGCATTGCATATTTCTGGCAAAACCGAAAAACAGGAAAAGTTCAGAGTTTAGGTATATGATGCATTGTTCTGTTTAGATTGGACAACCACATCAGAGTTGCATACGGGGTTATGCAAGTTTAAGTCTCTTATCTGCGATTCCAAGCAGCATTCATAATTCCCATTAAACAGATGGACAATTAAAAAAAGGGGGGGGCATTTGCTGACTTCATGGGAAACATATTTCACAGGACATTACACTTTTAATAATTAACAAAACTAAGCTGTGATATATATAGATACAGAGTAAACGAGCAGCCGAAGACTAATAGAACAGAACAACAAGACAGCAGGAACTGAGAGCAGTAATCCCAATCTGACTATAGCTCTCTGCAATATGATCCAGTTGATAGGGTAGCATCACATTAAGAAAATAGACAGAACAAATATGACACAATTGAATGAAAAGTTCTAGTTCGTTGAAAGCAACAGCTATTGTCTTGCATAGCTGTTCTTCTCCTCCTCCTCCTCCATTTACATTTAAGTATTAGCTCAATCGAACTATACCTGGTTATGAAACATATACACCTTGCAAGTCAAGAAAACTGACCTTCAAGTATGAAGCCACCTGTAATTCAATTGAACTAGTTAAAAACCACTATAACAACGCAGATTTCCGAGAAGCTGCATCAAACATTGTAACATTTTTCTTACCCATGAAAAAAGCGCAGAGAAAGCAACACCGACTCCAACCCAAAAGAGAGGTGACCCACTGCAAAGAAGGCAAATTGGAGAGGAAGGTCTAAACTATTATAGGCACTATAAGCGATAAGCAAAATCCCCAGCCAATTAACCCATAGGACATGTTTAACCGTTTCTCTTGTCTCTCTTGTCCTGGAAACAGTAGCTTGCATATAGCAGAACAAGACGGGAAAACTGAAAAGCTGAAGAATGTAGAGTATAGTTACACTTGTGAAGGAGCGGTAGGCACAGGCTGTGAGCTAACACCAACAGAAGATGTCTGCTGACCACTCGATGAGGAAATGCTAGCGAATAAGCTAGGCCCAAAGTTCCCTGTCCACCAAGAATGGAAAGCAGACGAACAAAGTCATTAGTGGGAATGAAGATGGAACAATAAACTGCAAGATGTTAAGCATCCACAATTCACATGTGGTTCACAGCATTGGACCATGTAAGCGAGCATAGATAAGCAGCAAGAACTCAAAAACAATGACTCAGTTTAAACAACAACAAATTGGGATAAAAATACCATGTCCGGAATTAGTAGAACGAGCAGCCTCCGAGTGCGACTGTGGAGGGTGTGCAGAGCTGCTGGAGCCACTGGACGAAGCTGAGATGGAAATTCTGGAACGGTGTGGGGGAATCAGGCAATTCCGGAGGTGGAAGGGAAGGGTTCTTCCACTGGGAGTAGGGTTTTGGAGTGAAGTGGGATATCCAATAACCAATTTCGGAGAAGAAGAAGAAGAGGAGGAGAGCAGCGCCATGTTTAAGTTATGCATACTGATTGCCTAAATGGACGAGGTGAGCAGGAAGAGAAGATATATTTCTGGTGTGGGAGGTTTTTGCTTTTGCAGTCTAGAAAGGAATGTTGAACTCGGACGCAGTTTCCATGGGGAGTGAGACTGTGAGAGAGACGGGGAAAGCGAATCGGTTAGGTTCGGTAGACTGAGCGGCCTAGCCACAGTTCGCCCAGCTGGCTGGATTTACGAATTTCAAATTTAAGTGAAAATATTTTGTTGGAAGAATTTCAAATTGATTCGTTTTAATGTAATTACAATTGTTCGAGGTGGGTAGACAATTTGAAATGGCTCTTTTTAAATGGGTTAATTGCAAGTTTGGTCACTGAGTTTACAAAAAAAGTTCATGTTTGGTCACTAAAAATATTTAATTTCATTCGTGGTCACTCAGATTAGTTCAATAGCTCAAGTTTGGTCACTCTCAGTTAGTCTCCATTAAGTTTAGCTGATGTGGCAGTCAACTCTAATAATTTATCGTTAAATAAATAATGTACAATTCAAAAATAAAAATCATATAAAATTTAACCTTTCATAATTTCCACCTCATTTTACAACCATTAAAAACTAAACATATAAATTAATCTCTCATAAATGCAACGGAGAGAGGACGGGCGACGTGGTGGTGGCGGCGGAGCAACATTGGGAGCTGCTGTGAGCGCTGGAGAAATGCGACGAGGATTTGTAGGTGCTGAAGGAGATGATCGACGAGCCGACGAGGTGAAGAAGAGTTTTGGTGTCGGTGGCGGATCAAAAGTCGGTGACGATTGGTCTGAAGGGGGCTACGATTCGTTTGCGACAGCGGCGGGGAATGATAACAAATAAGCCAAGCTGGAGAAGAATCCGAGTGGGGAACGATTCTATTGGGATTTCATGAGATGGCAGAGCTCGATTGGGATTTCGTCGGTCAAGTCATTTTAATCGACTTGCAACATGGTGAGATTCGAACAGGCGGAGAGGTTTGCAGGGATCGTGCCGGAGATGGAGTTTTGGACCACGGCTCCCGGAGACGGCCGAGCTCAGGCGGTATCTCGTTGGTGTTGTTGTGTGGGTTCCTGGAGATGAGCTCTGGGAGCCAATTTATTGTGAGAGAAATTAGCAGCTTGCATTGCCTTCTGATGTGCTCATTCCTTTTCGGTCCTTTACTTGCTTCTCCATGTTCTTAATCTAATGAAGTATAGCCACTGCCAATTTGTCAAAATCATCGAATTTCAACTCTGGGGAAAGAAGGGGAAATCACCGCCTCCCACCCCATCACCATCGTCGGACTATCCTGCTCCAGCTCCGTCGAAGAAGAAGAAGATCGAGAGCCCCTTGCCGATTTCGACGAACCCCTCCAGCAGTCCAGCACGCCCACAACGAAAGGCCTTTCCCTCTCGAGATTTAGTCCTCTCCCTCCATCAACCCATATTTGCCCTCGTCCAAGAGCTTCTTGATGAATGCGACATCGGTGGCGCGGTCGCGGTTGTGGCGCACGGTTCAGATGGGGGAGATGAACTCGGAGAGACGGAGTCCAGGTAGACGACGGCAGGGATGGGGCTGCTAGGGATTTCTCAACGGATTCAATGATTTCAGGTGCAGAAGAGGAGTAGGAAAGGAAAGGGAAGGAAGATGGCAGAGATGGTAGTGATTTCCAGAATGTCATGTGGGAAGGAAGCCCAAAGATGGAAGTGGCAGCGCCGGTGGGGAGTGTCTTGGCGAGGAAGGACATGGTAAAAGTATCGGGGATTAGAAGAAATTAAAAAATTTATTTATTTATAATAAAAATGATAATGAGGTGAAAATTTTAAAAGATTATATTTTATTATTTTTTAACTGCCACGTCATATATTTAACGGTCAACTATAAAAGTTGACCGCCACATAAGCAAAAGTTAACGGAGTTGGACGGAGAGTGACCAACTTGAAGTATTTAACTAATTTTATTTTTAGTGATCAAACGTGGATGTTTTTAGTAATCTCAGTGACCAATCTTGCAATTTACCCCGTTTTAAATTATTCAATTTTTAAAATGGGACAATTAATCAAATTGTCTCGTTTTTCAATTGATCAATCCAAACAATCCCTAGTCGTATACACTAATCTAGTCTATTGGGCGGATAACATCCGCTATGTTTGGCAACTAGAAGTGCAAATTTTAGAGGGTGTAAGTTGAGCGAAAAATTATAAAATTGTGGAAAGTAATATTGTTGTTTGGAATGAAAAAAATAAAGGGTGCAATATTGTGGAAAGTAAGTAAATTATATTATTATAAAATAAATTTATTAATTTATAAGACTCGCTTTCGCTACGGCTTCGGTGGGTTTCTCTTAACCAAACCACTGCATATGAGTTGCCGACTCATTCTTCAACAGGCGTGCGATCAAAGTCCATCTCCTCCCACTGCTTGGGAGCTTACGGGTTGGCGAGGTGGGCAAACCCTATACATTTCATTATAAAATGAATAAACCAGAAAAAGATGGTTCGAACTAATAAGTTCCATCATGTCAAGGTGACACTCTACTGCTGAGAAATTTTTTATAATATTCATAAATATACTTTAATAAAAATAATTGTTATTATATTAATGCTTAAATAGTAAATTTGCCTCCCGCGTTGATTTGTCGACATGGTGATCTCGATTTGAGTAGACAAACCTTGAAAAACTTGCTTCCGGAGTCAAACAGCAACCCACGAACAAGGTCTACATTAATAATAAATTAATAATAGCTATAATAAAATACTGATAATATTAGTTATTATATAATTATAAAACAATTAAAAAGTAAAAAACCATAATCTCTCTCTTTCTGCCTCGCCTTTATTCCATTGCACCCCAATTTGAGATAAGCCGAAATAGTAAATTTGCACCAATGTTTTGCACCCTCTACTGTTACAAATTAATCAATCCATTTGCACCACAAATTTACTCCCCTCTCATTTACAACCCTTCCCAAACATAGTGTTGACGTTCAAGAATGTGCAATTATTTTGAACAAAAATAATTTTTTTTTCAAATAACATATTGGGATAAATGTTTGTACTTATGCCTAACATTAAGCTAATAAATACTAAAGAAATGTACACCCAAATTGGTGTTATTTACCCTTCATATTTAGGTTCGTTTCGTGCTAATTCATATATATAATCGAAAGAATATCATCGATTGCATCCCTATTTCGTTTGTAACATCCCGATCCTTTTCCCAAGCAAGATATCGTTCGCTTTAGGCCTCGATCCTCACGGATGTCGACTTTGAGTGCAATTCAAGGTGATTTCCTATTAGGGTCACCCATCCTTGGTTACTCCACACTGAATGCATTTAACTTTGGAGTTCTCACAAGAACTCCTCCATTTCACCCCAAAATGCGTCTTGTCAGTTAAGCCTGGTTTATTACTTATGAACCATGGATCTCTCCCGTGCTTTGTCGATGTGGGATTTGTCTAAGTTGTTACATCGTTCCTATTTGATTATGTCATGATTTTAGGGTGCTTTAGACAATACATGTGAATTAGGTACGAAACAAGTTGATTGTGGGAAGTTAAGCTATCAAAGGCTAGTGAGGTGAAACCGGAGTGGCGGTTAATCCACCAAGTGATTGCTAGGTCAGTGGGTGGAAAGAACCAAAGCAAGGGCAATTTGACGGCCCGATACGTCATTTTCTTCCAAAGCACGTATCTTCTTTAATCGCTTCACCTCGGTTTGGCAATTCTGTCCATCTTCAAGGGATATGAAACGGACCATCGACTCACTGCCTTTCATGGAGGAGCTTGTGTCACTCGTTTTGCAAATTATTTCAGGGTCGACTTCTTTGTCGTGCAATTTCGGTTCGATAGTAGGACTACTCCTATATCATATGACATCTTGAAATCCAGAATTTAAGTGTTACATTTGAGTGCCAACGACGTTTGGGGAGTACGTAGACTTCCATTTCCAACCACTAACACGTTGGATATGGAGGGTACCATGTTCCATCTTCCGGAAGACAACGCGGTAAGAGGACTAAGTGGGCTAGTTAACGAGGAATAACAGGTTGAAAGCATGTATGGGGGAGGAAAGGCACATCCATCCACTTCTCATCTAGTTCCCCCACCTCTCAACTATGCATCTTTTTTATCCATTGGAATGATGTCGTACTACAAAGTGTCGACTAATCCTCCCATACTCGGTCCGATACATTCTCGAGTTTGACCTCCGTTTCCCAATTTGCTCCAACTTATAGCACATACTCCCAAAATTTCCTCTTCATCTTTACTCCAAACTTGGGCCTATCAAACATACCATGGTTCTCCAGTTCACCGTAATCCTTGCCCTCGGAGCTACTAATTCAAGAGGCAGGTGTCATTGTAGTTAACTCTTGGTTTATCCAACTGATGGGTGTTCTTCAGCCGGGGATACTTCACCTGACCGATCAAGTTTGTCCCGCAAATGGTCCTTCTCCTTCCCCTGACCTCTCCCTACTCGTATTCCAATCTGAGTGAAAAAGATGTCGTTGTTGCCCGGGGGACATCGACGAAAGTCATTAATGAGAGATGACACCACGATGTCAACGGCGAAATGAGATTTGTTGAAAAGAGAAACTTTAACGGTGAATGGTGATGGTTGAGTCACAACTTTAGGTTTTTGTACGATTTCATCAAGTAATATCATAGTACGTACCTGGAGACGTCGTTGGCAAAACATGATTGATTGTTGAAGCTCCATGGTTGTCGTCGATAAGGCCATAAGGGCACCGCAAGTCCCATATTGCTCTGGTGCAAGCAATATGATTGGCTGTAGTCTTGACTTTAACTTTGATTTCCTCTGACTTGACAATCTCGTTAAAGGTGATGAAGTGGTCCTCTTCTGGATCATCGTGGCCCAGTTGAGTGACAAAGAAAGACCTGTTGAGTCATCACGGTGCTGCTGGAGATTCAGCTACGAAAGCTGTTCGGAGGGGATGACCACAGAAGGAACGATTGTTACAAAAATGATTGCCACTGCTATGAGACAGTCCAATTAATTAATTAATTTTAATATATAAAAGTCTAGGTTTGAGTTACTATCCATTAGTGACTCTCACACTCTTTCAAGTGTAAGTGAGGAAGTTCAAAGTCTTTCTTTTACTCCACTCTCAATTCTACAAACTTTGTTTTAGTTATTGTTCGCTAAGTTTTCGTTTATGGTTTTTTGCACAAATCGCCTTTGTGTTTTGTTATTGTTTGTTAGGTTTTCGTATATAGTTTTTTTGCACAATCATCGCCTTTGTGTTTAGTTATTGTTCGCTAGGTTTTCATCTATGGCTTTTTGCACAATCATCGCCTTTGCCTACCATTTTGCAGCCTATATCGAAATACTGTCGGCGGAATCCTAAGTTGTTCCCCATCATCGTTTCCGAAGGCCGCTACCACGAGTTTTGTATCTGGACTGAGTTTCATCCTCTTTAGTGTTTTGTACAAATAATCGCATTTGCCGACCATTTTGCAGCCCATCTCGAAATAATGTCGGCACAATCCTAAGTTGTTCCCCACCATCGTTTCCCAAGGCCGTTACCACGAATTTTGTATCAAGACCGAGTTTCATCATCTTAAGTGGTTTTTCTTTCTTTTTTTCCTTTTTATTGAGCATGATCACAATTGAACCCAAATCCATGGGTATCCAACCTAATTCGATCCAGTCAAAGCGACTTAAAACCGATTTTAGCATTTATAAATTTCTTTTTTCTTCTTCTTTTGGTTGAGAAGACAATTGAACCCGAATCTAAGGTTTTGACGAGTGTTTTATTGTGAGCGAGCTTTATCCGCTTTTGTAGTTGGTAGGTTGGACCAAGTGTTAATTTGTTAAAAAATTGTTCAATGCGAGTTGAACACGTTGTTGACCAGTTTTAGATCGAAAGCGAGTTTTGTACGCTTTAATTTTTTTTTTGTTTCTCATTTTCCTTTTCGTTGATAATGACAATTGAACTCCGATTCATTGTTGACGTGTTTCGCATCGAGAGCGAGTTTTATCCGCTTTTGTAATTGACAGGTTTGGTAAATTGTGAATTTGTTAAAACTGGGTCAACCTGGTCAAAGCGCGTTGAACCCAGTGTTGAGAGCTTGGGGTCATGAGCGAGTTTTATCCGCTTTAGTATTTTTTTTTAATCTTTTTCCTTTTGGTTGAGAATGACTATTGAGTTCAAACGCATGAGTATACAACCTAATTCGACCCGACCAAAGTTACTTGAACTCGATTTTACAGGTTTCCGGCGGGAGCAAGTTTTATTTGTTTTTTAAATTGGCGTGTTGTGTCATGTGTGAATTTTTCCAAAATTCGGTCCAACCAGGTCAAAGCGAGTTGAACCTTGGTTTGACGAGTTTTGAGTCGGTTGTGAGTTTTAGCTTTAGTGTTTTTCATTTCGATTTTTTCTTTTGTTTGAGAAAGACAATTGAACCCAAATTCACGGGTATCTAGCCTAATTTGACCCGATCAATGCGAGCTGAACCTCCTCAAACCTGCAATCAGTCCAAAAATTTCATAAAGGAGAACCACGATTACCTCAAACCCAAAAAAAAAAAAATCATACAAATTGAAACATTGGCGTCATGAAAGAAGTTTAAAAATAAATAATTTATTCGACGACCCCTCTGCCTTGTGCAAGTTCATCGATCATATGCTATTGTAAGTAACAAACCTATGAAAAGAATGATTAACAATGAAATAAAATGACTTTCATTTTTGGGTCAACATTAAAATCATCAATTTTTAAAATATTTTGGGTAGTGTCTATTTTTTATCCAAACATTTTTCAGATTTTTTTTATATTATCCAAACCTATCGAAACACTAAGAATTAGTCAAATGTTAACTTCTAGTTAGCAATTTTGTTAATAATATTGACTTGGCAATATGATACTGACTTGGCAACATGATACTGACTTGGAAGAGACTCATGAAGGTCAACATTCCAAACTTTTAGTATTTTAAATAAGAAAAGAGTTACAAAATTATTAACGATAGCGTAAAAATTGCTAATATTTTGATGCATTATGAAAGATTTGTATAATTAATAGAATTTTAATAGGTTTGGATAATATAAAAGAATTTGAAAACAGTTTTGATAAAAAAATAGACATTACCCAAATATTTATCTTTGTGATACGCGAAGCGATATCGAACCAGTTTTTGCTAGTATTAATCATAACAGTTCTAAACACCAACTATTAAGTTTATCCTCAAGAATTAATTAATACGAATACTAGGAACAACAATACTACTATTGGCGACTTGGGCGGCATAATGCATAGATGCATTCATGGCTCTACTCAAAATCCAATTTAAAATGAAATAAATACAAGTCAATTAGAAGGGATTAAAAGTATCATCATTAGCCCGCTAGCTAAGCCGAGGAAATGAATTAAAGAAGGTGAACTGGACCTAGATGTAAGAGAGCAGGAGGTTGAAGAAGACAATGGTATAGAAGGAGAGGGAGAAGACGGCACAAATATGCTGCCAGAAGAGCAGTGCCGATGCCTCCCTGACCGCATACCCTCTCAAGCTCGCCACGGCACCCAGCAATATCGCGCTCGGCGTCGTGTACTGCAGCAGCAGCACGAATCGGTAAAGCTGGTCTCCGCCCACCAGCAGCCCCATCTCCTCCGCCGCCCACACCACTCCGATCCCCACCGCCGGCAGCACCAGCAGCCTCGCCGCCACTATCCCCACCGTCGTCCTCGCCCCAAGGCTCGACTCGCTGTCGCTGGGGCCCTCCGCCAACATCCCCCCCAGCACCAGCATCACCGACGGCACCGCCGCCCCCGCCATCATCGTCAGGCTGTCCGTCACGAACCCTAGCGGAGCATCGCCGCCGTACACGCAGCTCCTCAGCGGCGGAATCAGCCCGATCACTACCGCCAGGAGCGACGCGATCGTGGGCGGCTGGAGGATGTGGTGAATTGGGGTTTCCTTCGCCACCACTCTGATTTTTCTCACCAGCACCCTCGGCTCCGCCAGGCAACTGATAGATTCCAATTGGTCTCCCGGATCCTCCATCGGGATTTCGGATTCGGAAATTGTGCTGTGGTTTAGGAACAACCTGGCTATGAACGGACTCTTGCTGTGCTCGGTTCCCAATTGGTCCTCAATTCCCGGCCATTCCGCTTCCGCGAGTAACGGCCGACTTAAATCTGCGCCGCCGGAATCTTCAACCACTTCAACTATGTCTCCTCCTCCTCCTCCGCCGCCGCCGTCGTCCTGCTCGCGAAACTCCAGCGCCGGCTCCATCATATGGTAAACCAGAGTGTACACCAGAATAACGGAGACCCATTGCGAAATCGAGACGTACGAGACGCCGTTGGAGTAGCAATCAGGTCCGAACGGGTTGTCGGAGCCCCGACGACGACACACTGCGCCGACAACGGCGAAGGCGATGTTGCCGGTGTTACCGAACCCGGTAGCTATAACGGTGAAGCGGAAGAGCTCCGGCGGCGGGCGGCAAACTAGGGCGACCAGGCAGCCGAGAATGCAGCCGGCGGCCGTGCTGATGAGGACGTTGACGGGGATGAACCACCAGTGGATGGCTTTTTGGAGGGTGATGGATTGGCCGAGGTGGGTGAAGATTAAGGAAGGGAGGAAAAGGACGAATACGAGCCTGCTTAGAAGCTTGAATGTCTGCCTGGGAATGAATTGGGTTTTGGGATGGGCTAGAACGGAGCCGAATAGTGTGAGGGTGACGAGCTTCAGGAGAGGGAGAATCGAGGCCGCAATTTCGGATTTCACCTCCTTGCCTTCATTCATTGGAGACGCCATTGATTTCTCGTTTCGGTTTCCTGGAAGTTGGGATGAACGGGACGGGATATGTGTACTGTTGGGGGTTAAAACTTACGGGATGGAGGGGAGTTAGGTGAGAGCAAAGAGGATGGTAGAAGTTTTCAGAATTGTGTTTCGTGTCCTCTGACCCCAGCCGAGACAGAGTAGTAACCCCGTTGGTGAAGTTCACGGGAAAAAGAGCAACAGAATTTGGCCGATGTGGGCGTTGTTTATGGCCAATCAAACACAACAAGCTACCAAATTGGGCGTTGATCATAATTACCGAAAAATTGTTAAAAAGAGGAGCACGCTAGTCATTATTAAAACTTGGAGGATGAGAGACATATGTGTATTGTGCATTAACTGAGAGAGTGGTGCATTAATCGAGAAGACCACAAAACACAAACCAAAAACATAACAAACCACACAACAAAAATGCCAGAAAGCATTGAAAATATACCAAAACCTCGCTAGACTACAAAATTCATAAAGCATACAAAATAACTTACAAAACAGTTTATAAAAAAATTACAAAACATACAAACCCATGATCGTGGGTACCCGACCGCCCCCGCCCTAGTCAACGCGGGAAATCCCTATAATGATTGGGTATGGAGACGGTATGGTTTTAGTCTCCCCGTCTCATACCCATACCTGCCCCACCAAGAATATTTCTTCACATATAAAAATACATTGATAAAATAGAAACCTATCAATGATAGTGAAGGTAACTTGGGTAAATGCCACATTTGGTCACCGAGATTACTAAAGCGTGTCATGTTTAGTCACTAGAAAATTTTTAATATCAATTTTGGTCGCTTGAATTACTGAAACTGGTCACATTTAGTCACTCTCCCGTTAGTTTCTGTCCAACTCCATTAAACTAACGGGAGAGTGACTAACTGTGACATGTTTCAGTAATTCGAGTGACTAAATGTGACATGTTTCAATAATTCGAGTGACCGGAGTTGGACAGTGGCTACAGGAGAGTGGCCAAATGTGACGTGTTTCAGTAATTCGAGTGACCGAAATTGATATTAAATTTTTCTAGTGACTAAACATGATACGATTTAGTAATCTCAGTGACCAAATGTGGCATTTACTCGTAACTTAAGACAATATATTATATATAGTAGAAATGCAATTGAGTGACCATCCAAATATGTGGCCCCCATGGAATTTAAGGGTCCAAATCTGTGAACCCCACAGACTTGTAAATCCCACATATTGATGCAGGATTTGTAGCATGTCATAAATGCATAATGGGGTTTACCCATATACCCTCACGAACTTTTAAAATTCCAAGTTTGCCCATACATTTACCTTTTGTACTTTATTAATAATCAATTAATTAACAACAAAGAAATAATATAAATATTCAATTAATGTGCAAATATGTTGATATATGTTACTTTTGAAAATAAGGACAAAATAATTGGAAACCGATATATGTTACTTTAAATGTTAAACTGAATTTTTCCGTTTATTATTATTGTCCTTGTGGCAACATTATGCTTATTAGTATGTATTGTTCTTGTTTTGTGTACATATCATAAACATGACAAACAAATGCAAAATGATAGTATGGTAATTTCGGACTTTAAGTTCTAAATCCCAAAACCTTAAATCCATGATAAAACATCTGAACAAACAAAGGTTTGTTACAAATCCATAATGCCTCAAATCCTTGATAAATTCTTGGGATTTTAAATTACAAAACCCTCATTTTTAAATCCATGAAGCAAACGACCCCCAAATCTAATTCTTTTACGTCAATTCTCCCTTCATTCTTGCACTTTTCACTCTTGTTACAAGATAATTATGTTAGTTAAGTATTGTTTCGTAGATGTATTAGAGTTAGAAACTAACTGTTTGGAAAATATTATACTCTATCTTATTGATTAATAGATGTTTTAGGATCATACGATTTGAATCGTATTAAGAATGATTGTATCTTTGTTAAATGATATAGTAGATTTGTTTAGCATTATAATTGAAAATTTAAATTCTATTTTACAAAAAAAAAGATAAAAATCATAAGAATAATCTCGTATTCTCAAATAATTTTTCTTAGAAGCTCCAAATTGTTATGTTATAAAAAAGGTTTTGACCTGTTTCTAGAAGTTGAGTTTACAAACGTGTTTGGCCTGAATCAAGTCTAGTCAAACAGAGGTGTCGTCTGCCTCCTTTCCCATTAATGTATCAAATTCTGAAATTGGTATTGTTGCTCGTAGTCATCACCTCTACAAGTGTTAACAATCATTTCCAATGAACTATATGAAGATATACTTTAGAATCTCATGAATAATGAAATCATGAACGACCTTTTAATAGGGTACATTTAGAATGATATCTTTAATAATGAGTTGATTAATGTCTTGTATATACATTTCAGAATATCACATTCTGAATTATAGTAAAACAGAAATGATTTTTGTAGGTTTGATCCACTTTAAGTAAATTGCGGTCTTGATCACTTATTATTATTATTATAAAGACTTGATCAATGAATACTTAAACTACCTTTAAAAGCCGTAATTAGTATTTTCATTTTAATGCTTCACTCTTTTTTTTATTATAAAAAGATAATCGTATATTGATTGGACAAGGACCCAACGGAGAAGTGCGAAGACTGGTTAGCCGGAGTAGACGGTCCACCGACAGACAGACCCACTCATGAACCTGTTGGTTAAACTGCCGCATCAAGGCTCTGATGCTGAACGGTTTGTCCTAAAAAAACTACCCAATTACAAGATCGTCAAATTCTCCAAAGGACAGCAATCACCGCCATGAATATTGACGGTTGATGTACCAAAGCCTAGGGGTGTACATGGGTTGGGTGGTCCGGGTTTAGACATTTTAATCACTGGACCCATGCACTACGGTTTGGGAAATACTAAACCCAAATCCACCCAAATTTTTTTTAACCCTACGGTTTGTTTCTAATTGGATTGGGTCGGGTTGGTGATATGTTTAAGTAAAAACCCAACCCAACACAAAATATATAATTATTCTACACCATAAAAATATTATATAACTAATTAAAAGTTCATACGAATAAACCGAGGTGAAAGGTATCAAAATTCACAAATGTTGTTTGAATTTTAATAAAATTTGATTTACTTCAATTTATGTCTAGTTTTTTTTTTCACGACATTTGTTGAAATAGGCTAAAAAGGTTATAAATGAGCGCATACATAATATGTTATTTTATTAAAATTGTACACAAGAAAAAGAATTACATGAATCATAGCTATATTAAATTTATGTCTAAACTTTAAGCCAAGAATACATTAGATTACGGAGACCATGAGAGAAAAACATGGCTAAATATTTTAGTTGTCTCATAAGTATAGCTATATCGACATAAATATCTTTTTGGATACGAACTCATACTAATAATTGGAACACGTGTTTGGTCGGGTTCTACTGGTTGTATAATCTAAAGTCCAAACCCAAACCCAAAGAGGCGGGTTGTACAAAACAAAACCTTCACCCAACCCAAAATTTTCATTTTAACGATAAATACAGGTATGTTGGATCGTGTTTGACAATTTACGGGTGTGTTTGTTCTCTACTACCAGAGCCAACAAATTTTTCAGAAAAAGCGAGAAGGTGTGGCCAGACAAACCTTCTCCAAGGTATTCGAGGCCAAGACAGATGAATTTTACTGCTTCAGTCAATCGGATGATACAGTATGAAATCGAAATGAGTCCAATCAAAGTTTTTCAGAGGCTGTAGAGAGTTGGGTGAGCCAACAGTCAACGCAAACACATACTTTCTGCGGACAAGAATGGAGAGTGATACGTGCTAATTAACAATCCGAATACAGCAAGCTACTTCGTCATTTTCCTTATAAGGTGCAGAAAATTTGTTTCTTTTTTCTTTTTTATCGAAGCAGAAATTTTTTTGGAGAAATTTTTTGCTTGCTTGTGCAAAGACTGTTAATTGGGCGGGTTAGGTGGGTTGCGAGACCGTCAGGTTGTATGATTCTTCGATAATAAAATTATCGGGTTACGAGTGAATCAACATGCGAATCAATCGGATTATGAGTCAATCGAGGTACTGGTCAATTGGATTACAAATCAGGTAAGTTGTGAGTGGATCGGGTTGCAGTTTTTACAAATTGGTGCTTCTGACTTACTTATCCAGTCGCATGTTATTATATCACACTAATTTGAAATAATTAATTTTTAATGTATTTTTTTGCAATTTCTTTCTAGCTCGTGTATATATATATATATATATGGGGAGTTTTATGGTACCCATGGTGAAATCCAATGTACCTCATACCTTGAGTAAGAAAACGCTATCAAGAACTTGAATTGACTAATCTTTCGGACATGATACTATACTCTAACTAGGGGTGGGCATTCGGTCGGTTCGGTTTCGATTGAACCGAAATTATGAATACCGGTCCCCGAATTCTCCCAAACCTCAAACCGAATTAGAATTCGGTTCGGTCGGTTTAAACCGAATTATAATTCGGTTCGGTTTTTCACACAAAACCGAATTTGTGAAGCTACTTGTATTTTCTCACTTTTAAATTATTTTTCACCCCTAATAAACAATAAATATCAATTATATGCATCATCAATGATAAAATCAAACTTTTCAACACATAAGTCATAAAACATTTCAAATATTTAAGTCTAAAAACAACTACAAATATAAAAATCCACCATTTGGAGCTTGCAATTATAGTATTTCGGTTTTTCGGTCAGAAATTCGGAAATTCGGTTCGGTTGAAAGAACCCTGATTTCCGAACTATCCATATTTTACTTCCGAACCGAATAGCACTAATTCGGTTTTGTTTCGGTTCGGTTTTACCGAACTGTTTGCCCACCCCTAACTATAACCCTTAAAGATCAACATCTAGGTCTTAATTCTCTAAATCTTATACCCCATGATCAATTTAATTAGAAACAGTAATCAACGGTTATGATTCGTTCAAATATAGGCAAAAAAATCAATGCACCATCTTAGGGTTTATAGTTTA